TATATTTATATATATATATTATTTAAAAGCGTTTTGGGACAGTTTTCAAAGAAGTAGGAGATGCTTTTGGGTACACGTGGTCCAACACGTTTATCAAATTATGTATTTATGCTCGTGCGGTAAAAAACAAAAAATTGCGATAAAGAAATGTGTATTTTCTATGTTCGATAAACGTTTTGACTTAGTTCAGTATGTGTTGATTTCAAGAAAAATATTTAAAAGATAGCAAATTTAAGGCACGTGCCTGCTGTAGAAAGGTTTTAAAGGCCATAAAATATTTTGTCTGTCTCGTAACCCTGTTCGCTATTAAGAAGTTTACCTGTTGCTTTTATTCTTCAAGTGCAAAGTTTTCATAATTTTACTGAAAATGAATATAGATCCTGTCAGAACCTAAAATTGTTTAAGTGTTCTAAAGGAGTTAATTAAGGATAAGTTATTCAAGTCGAAAAACAATAAAAAGCTATTTGACAATTAGCTGAAGAGTAGTAAATAATTAATATATACCTTAAAGAAAACAAAAATAAACATGAAAGATATGTTATGTAATGAAATGGAAACTGTTATCCACTAAAATATCATAATTAAACAAATTTGAAGCTCTTGGAAAAATATTGTACATTCAGATAAATTTTACTTTTGGAATATCGGACATTCAAAGCTCTTTGGAATTAGAATTCCGTTATTTTAAAGAAGGTATAAAAGAAATGACTAGTTCAGTGAAACCTGCATACATTTATTGGCGGGTTCGCTAGTTTGTGACCTCAACGAAGACGGCTACTTTGACCCATGAGTCCTATTCGTTAGATTTATCCAGCTCAGACTTCTTCCTGTTTCCGAAAACGAAAAGGGATTTGAAAGGAAAGCGTTTTTCCAATCTCGAAGACATAAAATAAAATGTCACGAAGGTGCTAGCAGGAGAATGAATTCAAAAGGTATTTCAAACACTGGAATGAATGTTTGGATTAATAGATACTAATGGCGATTAAGATTATATTTAAAAGTAAATGCTTAGGATAAAGGAATTCCGATTACATTTGGTCCCTTCTCGTAGGATTTCGAGAACAACTCTGACTAAACTGTGACTGTAATAAGAAAATCTTTCAAAACAATTTGGTTAACGTTGCTTCTGTCTAACTATCTATCATACTTATGCATACACACAACAGTTATTTTTTCTAATCAGAATAATTTAAATATACCCACTTACCTATAAAAGCAAATTTCAAAACTTTGCCTGCATGTACCTACAAACTTAAAGTATAATTGAAAATGGGAATCATCCTCTGATTTTCCATCCTTACAGGTGGAATATTTTCTTAAAATTTAATTAGAACCACCCTTGAGATATAGCCTGTACTATAAAAAAATAATAATTCAAATCGGTTCACAATCTGGTAAAATTGGCATAACAGACACACGAAAAATATAATAAAAATAAAAACACGCAGTCGAATTGAAAACCTTCTTTTTTTCTTGAAG